GATTACATTAAGGTTGGAACGTAAGGTGCCAATTCCACTTAATTGGAGTTATGTACAATCCTAAAATGCTATAGGAAGGGAGCGAAACAGGTCCGTGACGTAGGAAGTGTTGAAGGAAGTAGTAAAGGCAAGCAGTCCGGAGTGTGGGAACTTTTTATGACGATTAGATTAAGGTATCTGCAAACCTAAAATGCTATGGGAAGGGAGGGAAATAGGTGCGCGACGAAGGAAGTCGTGAAGGAAATAGTAAAGGCTAGCAGTGTGGATTGTGGGAACTGTTTATGATGATGAGATTAAGGTATCTGCAATCTTAAAATGCAATGGGAAGGGAAGAAAAGAGGTCCACGACAAAGGAAGTGATAAAGGAAGTAGTAAAGGCGAGCTGTCCGGACTGTGGGAACTGTTAATAAGGATTAGATTAAGGTATCTGCAAACCTAAAATGCCGTGGGAAGGGAAGGAAACAGGTCGGCGACGTAGGAAGTAGTGAGGGAAGTAGTAAGGCTAGCAGTGCAGAGTGTGAGAACTATCTGTGGCATTTATGTATCTGCAATTCTAAAATGGTATAGGGAAGGAGGACAAACAGGTCCACAACGTGGTGAAGGAAGTAGTAAAGGTGAGCAGTGTGGAGTTTGGGAGTGGATTAATGTATCTGCAATACTAAACTGCTTTCAGAGTAAACTAATGATTTTCCCCGAGCAAAGCTCGGTCCCCAGGTACTTATATTTATGAGAGCAGCTAATTTGCAAACAAAAGGTGAGTGAGCGTAGCGAACGAACTTCAACCTGGAGGTGAGTTAGCGTAGCAAACGAGCTAAACCTGAAGGCAAGTGAGCGTAGTGAACGAGCTCCAACCTAAAGTTCAGTAAGCGTAGTAAACGAACTTCAACCAGGACGTGATTGAGCGATGCGAACGAGTTCATCTTGAAAATGAAAGAGTATTTGACAGAAAACCAAATTAGGACAGGACGACGTCTGTCGGGCCAGCTAGTATAATTTAAGACAAAACTATTAATAAACATTCAGAGCAAAATAACAAAATGACCCCGCCGCAGAAAACCTGAAGACTTGGCGAATTTCCATTTGCCTCATTGGATTTACACTAAAATGTCTCTTTAAATAAATATATCACATTTATTCCTTATTTAAATAGAATTAGTTTAACGAGTACTTAGGTTTGTTGCAACAGGAAGGGTATAAAAGTGTTTTTAATGTAAAATGTTAATAGGTACTGTAGTTTAGTAAGAAATTAATGCATTTTCCAAATTTGATCAAAATATGTTTATAAATAAGCAAACTACAACAGTTGACTTATTCTCAATAAGAATAACATGGGAATTTTAAAATTACAATTTTTTTTTTATTTTCTCCGTATCCCTTCGGCGCATAATAACGCTTCAATATACTAAATTATTTGTTTCTTTAGGCTCTACATAATGGTTTGGAAAGTAATTGTGAAATTTTGTGTTTTTAGAGTCAAAAATGGGAAAAACCTATTTTTACCCCATAAAACCCCCCATAAACGGGTTCCCATAGTCCGATCATGCTGGTTCGCGAACTCATTCAAGTTTATCCTGCTTTACACCTTTAAACCAAATTTCATCAGAATCGGACAAACATTACTCAAGTTATCGCGTTCACGGACACACACATAGGCTATATATATAAAATTTTAACGAATGGGTTTTTTGGCCTCTGGGAACATCAAAATGAAAAAGTAAATCGGTCCCGGGTCTATTCTTACCATGCCACCTACGGTAATAGCTTACTTCCCTATAGGGAAATACGCTAACAAGCCTAACCTATCACAATTTCTAGCTCAAAGTATTCCTCCACCGAGTCATGGGATTTTCCTGTAGCCATTTATAAAATGTAGATAGAAACATATATTATCAGACTTTAAATTGACTAGGCAGGTAGGTAATTTATTGTATATCACAGCCAAATAATCATGGTATTTTTGTGCCTTACCTAACCTACATCTAGTAATATCTATTTTGTCCCTAAATCTAGTATTATAATCATGAACATCACATCTAAATCTAAAATTATCAATATTTTTTCTTAAACTTCTAATGACTTCAAAAATATACAGATTTATCACAGTTAAAATACCAGTTTGTAAAAACAAAGGTCTGCAGTGTTCTGACTTTTGATTCATTTGCCAATATTCTAATAATTCTTTTCTGCTTAGTTAAAACTCTATTAATGCCTATACCGTTTCCCCAAATGATAAGACCATATCTCAAAATACTCTCAAAATAAGCAAAGTATGCCATCCTAAGGTATGTAACAGACACAAATCTCTTTAAATTACTCAACAAACAAATTACTCTAGACAATTTTTTACACACAGAATCTATATGGTCTTTCCACTTTAATTTACTACTATTAATTTACTCCAAGCAGCTTTACACTATCAGAACAGTCAACATTACACATTTCATTGTTTAAGGACACCAACATTCTTTTTGTTTTATCCTCATTAATAAAACAAAAAGAATGTTGGTGTCCTTAAACAATGAAATGTGTAATGTTGATTGTTCTGATAGTGTAAAGCTGCTTGGAGTAATTATACTGCTGCTTGGAATGAAGGTTTACTAATTGAAAATAGTTCTGTTCATTAAATAATATTGTAAATGCCTCAAATTCTAACAAAAGATGTAATCGCACTCTAATCTAAATCTTAAACAAAGAGTTAATGCCTCTCCCTCTGGTAGGATTCGATCCGGCTACCTTAGGTTCAACAGAGCCAACCACAAGACCGGTACGCTATCCATTACACCACCGAGGCCGTTAGCTTATTATCATCACTGTATCATTGCGATAAGGTGTTCGAGAGCTAATGGAAAAAAGTAACTGTTCCCTTTGCTTTATTCTGGAATACTGGAACTGCAACGGGACCGGGTTGTTGCGTCATTTTGACGTGCGAATAGTCACTTCGTTCTCGTTCTGTTACTTCTGCTCCCTCTTTTGCTGAAACACAGAACTGAACTGAACTGATGCCAGCCAGATTGGATTTGAGTATTTGAGCAATTAGTAGTTTAGTGTTCTGTCAAAGCAATCCGTAAATGTTATAAGAACATACTCAGGGGCAGGGCCGCTGAATTTTTATTCAAGGATTAGTTTTGCCAACAGTGTTATTTGGAGGCTTCTGATTGGCTGAGGGAACAGCATTAGCGCAACGATACGGTTTGATGCCATCGGCCTGGGTGGTGTGAAAACCATTAAAATTCATTGTCAGATTAGTGAAGTGTATGGCGAGAACATTATGAGTAAAGGAAACTCCTCAGATAATGATGAGATGGTAAACCGACTGTTCTCTCTCACTTTTTCATCGACTTTAGGAATTTAAGGAATTTTTGTTATTAAGATGTAATAAATTTATTTTTCTTGTACTGACTTGGCTAATGCAGGTATTGTCAATTCGGCCCAATAAATGACTTATTGACTTATATATTTACGCACCAATTCATCAGTAATGACAGATGGCCACCCTCCCAGTGGCCGCTCATCATGAACGTTGGTGCGGCCGTCTTTAAATGCCCTTACTTACTTGCGTATCATTACGTCACTCATAATGTTCTCACCATACACTTTACTATTCTGTCGATGAATTTCAATGGTTTTCACACCTTTAGCACTTAAAAATCTAATTACTATTACAGTGCGCACTTCACAGTCGGCGGCAGTCTCAATTGGCGGCACCATTTTGAATGCTCAAAACCGGTTGTAAACACGGCCGATTGTTGCCAAATTTCCGGCACAGACTTGCCATAGATCCACATACACAGCACAAATATCCAAAATGCCAATCACAGCGCTGGAACGGTGAAATTTAAAAACGGTACTTACTAAAAAAAAAACATGCCTCGTAATTCTAAACTGTTGATTTTGGCCAAAGTTTTTAATACCGTTGACGCAGTGAAAATGAAGAAATGTCTCAAATATAGTAAATACAATAATTTACTTAAGTATACTTATACTACTTTAGTCACTGAGCTATAATTCTAACTGGAGGTAGCACTGAATGTCAAAGATGCGTGTCGCCAGCCGCCATGTTTGCGTTAGGTGTGAGTTAAAAAGAAGCAATGTTATTGGATAAGAAAACTCACTGCTATACCAACCTAGTTATAGAAGCCATGTTATTGCTATGATAAGAAAACTCGCTGCTATACCAACCTAACAAAATCAGCGACACGCTTTTGACAGACTTCTGCCATGGCGGTGCTACCTCCAGTTATAATTTTAGCTCAGTGACTTTAGTAGACAACGGTTGTCTACTTACCACGGTTACCACCCAATGGAGTGATCTCCAAAACAGCCATATTGCAATTAGCATATCTGGATTGCATTGCAAAGACATACAGGGTGGCTGAAAAGTAACTTGCACCCCCCCTTAACTTTTCAACCATTTGAGATATTTGAAATCGGTTTGCGGCAACCTTCTTAGATATGAGGGGCTACAATAATTATGGTCAATTTTGAAAATTTTGCCCTTAGGGGTAGCGGGGGTAGGGGGAAGCTCAAAATTTTCAAATGACAATTATAGTCGAGTTTGGTATCATTTTACAGGTCAAAATTAATTTAAATAACCATTGTCTCAATCATTTTTAGCTTCCATTTTGTTATTAATGGTCCGATTTCTATTTTCTTTATGTCAATTTTTATGTTTCATCAAGACCTGTAAAATGATACCAAACTCGACTATACTTGTCATTTGAAAATTTTGAGCTACCTCCTACCCCCGCTACCCCTAAGGGCAAAATTTTCAAAATTTACCATAATTATTGTAGCCCCTCATATCTAAGAAGGTTGCCGCAAACCGATTTCAAATATCTCAAATGGTTAAAAAGTTAAGGGGGGGTGCAAGTTACTTTTCAGCCACCCTGTATAAGTCTGTGCAGTTGGATTGTTTCCAAGTCAGTCTTTATACTTACTTATAGGAAAAATAGTCTAAAATGTTTGACTTAGATTAAAGGATGAAGGTTATATTTCAGGGACCAGATTAATTCACAGTTTTAATGATACAAAAAAATATTTATGGTTTTAAAGGCTAGATATGACAAAGACACTGTTGGAAAGGTTGACTTCTCCTTTAAGCACTCGTTTTTGCAGGTTCTGAAAACAAAATTAATTGTGTTACTATCTATGATCTAAAATGTCTACAGTTAACACTTCTTTAATTAATTAAACTAACTCACAGGGCTGGTGCAAGGACTATGCGGCCACATGAGGCGCTGCTAGAGAAAGGGTGCTGACAGGCATGCAGGGCCAAGTTTGCAAGGTATTGTCTATCTATCTATGGTATTGTCAACATTTGTTAAGGCCTTTTGTTAAACAGTGTTTTGGTGCTAAAAAAGGTTTATATATTACTATGGGCTCACTTTTTTGAAATATAAAAGCACAGAGAAGTAAGGTACAGAGGACTTCAAATTCAAATATACAAGCATGGCTTTGCTAAGTTTACAAAACTTGTCGGCGAGGACCAATAGATAACAAAAAATGACAAACTTTACAGATTTTTTTATCTTTTCTTTAGTTTTGTTTTCTGAACATTCAATGATACACTTAAGTGGTGTCTAAGCACACCTACTGGTGTCTTGGGCAAAGTCCTGCACCGCACCCCTTGTTTTCATGTACTACAACTCTCTTGGTGGAGGAAGACCCTGTGGGATAGGAATATCTGCACAGTACTTGCCGTCAGGCTCTTCCTTGCTTTTCAATATATTTCCAGCACAAAATACCAGAGCTGAAAGCGCATGGTCGTCTCATAAGCGTGTTGCCTCTGTAACTTACTCTCTGTGATAAAAGGAACAGCCTATTTTGGTCATACGCTTCTCTCGGGGAAAGGCAATCTTCACCGTTAGCTATAAGTCGCCATCATTTTAGAGTTGGTGCCCTTTAGTTTCAGTGAAAATTCCACCCCCAAAGATCAGATAGCTCTTTTGGGTATTTAAAACAATGCCCTATCTTGTTTTGGGGCCTTTTTATGGACAAACGTGACCACCTACACCGGTGTAGGGTGTCATACTTTCTACATCTACGCCCCTTAAGACGCAACCGCCCTTTTTGGGAATAAGCTCTTTTTGAAGCCTCTTTTGATTCTATTATGATTCTAGTTTATACTATTCATCACTTTTTAAAATCAATTTTACCTTAATTTTATAAACAATGATGTAATGCTTCTATATATTTGTGTTTTTTTTATGTTACTTTGGATACTTAATGTGGAAATAAACTGATTTGATTTGATTTGTCTTAAGAATAAACAGCTCACATCTCCTTCCTTCCAAATTTGCTGCCGTGAAATATTTGCATGGTTCTGTAGCCTTCAGATCTGACTCCAAAGGACTATATCATCTTGCTAAGGCCTACCGCACACGAGAGACTTTTTGTCGGCCGACTATTTAGTCGTAGTCGGGAGTCAAAGTCGGCCCCATAGTGGTAAATCTGAGTGCGCACGCCGACCGCAACAAGACAGTCGGCAGACTGTCTTCAGACTGTCGGGGAGGTTTGGTGCTGACCGATTTTCCCGCCGACTGCTCCCCGACTCAACTGTCGGGTCTTATTGATAAAGGCATGGAGATAAGTTAGAACGCGCACACTGACGACTAAAAAGTCTGCCAGTCTGAATGTTGTGTGCGCGCTACGCAGGTCGCAAACAGTCAAGTGCGTTGTTATTAAGTGCATTATGGCTTCTACAACGATAAGTGCAAGTGTTTTGCGAGATGATAAGGTAGATAAACTTATCGATGAAGTGGAGGCACGGCCCCCTCTTTATAAAAAATCTTTAAAAGAGTATTCGGACATTATATTAAAGAAAAAGTTGTGGGAAGAAGTATGTGAAGCCGTGGTGGACAACTGGGGTACACTGCAAACAAAGGAAAAGGCAAATGAAGGTAAGCTTTTATTAATAACGTGGTTTATTACCAAACTATTTGCAAAGTAATTTACATTAAATCTATTATGCAAGAAAGTCCATAACTTCTTCGTGTAACGGTATGCTTTACTATGTGCTCTATTTATGATGGAAATTATAAACAACTGTTGTAATTCAAATATGTCAAAATCCGATACTTGCCCACAACTCCAAAACTTGTTAATGAGTGAAAATTTAAAAACGTACGTTTTCATGTCCCTGGCCTTTTACTTCGTAGATACTGGATTTGTAGTTTATTATTATGTGTTTTAATATTTTTTGGGACGGGGGTAACATGTTACACACATTTATTTGGTTTTAAATAGGTTCTAGGTATTTTTTTCGTATTTTTAAAGTCTCGAAATTCACGACCATGACGTGTCCCTAGGGTACATTTTCCAACTTTCACGCTGTTTTTAGACTAATTACTCATGCCGAAATATATAAAGCCATATTTTTATGCCATCAATGGTTATTAAACTTACAAAAAAGGAGCATATTATAATTTTATTGTCATTGCAAACTGACTACCATGACAAAATAAGTCTGTCCCTCGATTTGGCGTCACGACCATTTGGGAAAAATTTTCAACTTTGGAGCACGACAGTGGCAAGCCTGGCGTCGATGGAGTCAGTTTGTTTTAGAGACTAGTTCGGGGTGTACGTCAGGATTGTAGTGCCGGTCGTTTCGAGTTGAAAGGAGGAATTACAAGATTAATAAAGGAAAGATTGTGTTTTTTTGTAATTTTGGTGTGTCCATGACCGTACGTAGTCATTCGATGAAGTAGACATGGTGTTAATTTTTGTTTATAAGATATTTCAATTGCTAGATTAACCTAGAAGTCCACTTTGTATCCTCGAACATGAGGTGCAGGGCTACCGCCAGAACAGAGCCAAATAACACGTAATTTCACGACCAAAGTTTCACGACCATCGCGGGTTTTTTCACGACCAATCCAGCCTTTTGGATTATAGTGTGTTTGGTCGTGACAATAACTTAAATATAATTGTAATTTGAACAGTTTAGTTCAATTGAAACACTTATTTTTATTATAACTAACAGTATAATTAAAGGATTGTTTAGAAAGATTTAGATTATTTCAGAAAATTCACGACCGTACCGCTTGTCCCTGACCATCACGTTTATGATTTCTATCATAAAAATTTCAAAAATTAAAATATCGTCATATTTCAATGTTTTATACACAAAAGAAGCACCCCTCTATACAAACATAACGATTTTTCGGGTCTCAGGTAAGTTTTTTTTGGAGTTATACAAACTTAAAAAGATTTTATTGGCTTTTTTTCAATTTTTTTATTTTTTTTATTTTTTTCTAGAAAGACCAAATATACCAAAAGCTCAGTGACCTTTTTATTGTATAATGGTCATAAAAGTAAATTAGTTTATAGCAAAACATAGTTATAAAAATAATATTAACTATTTTTAATATTCATTTAAACGTCTGTTATGGTCGTGACAGGATTTTGTGTTTTTCCACTAAAGATGCTCATTTAAAAAAAAAATACCAAAGATATTGCGTTACCATGGGCATTTTATGAAACTTCAAATGTTAATGAAATAAAAATAATATTAAAAGTTTTGAAAAAAGGGGAAAAAAATTTGCAAAGTGCTTTTCCTGAAAACGTACGTTTTTAAATTTTCACTCTAATATCAACATTAAAGTGTACAAAACGTAGTTTTTCAATGTCAGAGAACTTTGTGTAGTTTTTAGCGAATTTCCCATATAGGGAATAAGCTATTACCGTAGTACTCATGGTAAGACCTGGACGTGGGACCGATTTTTTTTTTATTTGATGTCCCTAGAGGCTAAAAACACCATCCGTTCAAATTCATATATAGGCCTATATATGTGTCCGTCAGCAAGATAACTCGAGCAAAAATGATCCGATTTTGATGAAATTTGGTACAAACGTCTAAACGTACGTTTATTCGAACGAGTTCGCGATCCAGCATGATCGGACCATGGAAACGGGGGTTTACGGGGGGTTTTATGGGGTAAAAATAGGTTTTTCCCATTTTTGACCCAAAAAACTTAAAATTTAGCAATTTCTTTCCTAACCATTTTGTAGAGCTTAAAAATCAAATAATTTAGTACATTGAAGCGTTGTTATGCGCCTAATGGTTACGGAGAAAATTCAAAAAAATTGTAAATTTAAAATTCCCATGTTATTCTTATTGAGAATAAGTCAACTGTTGTAGTTTGCTTGTTTGTGAACATATTTTGATCAAATTTGGAAAATGTTTTTATTTCTTACTAACTATTCACATTAAAAAAAAAAAAACAGTTTTACCCTCCCTGATGCAGCAAACCTAAGTACTTGTTAAACTAATTCTATTTAAATTAAGAATAAATGTTATATTTTTAAGTAGACATTTCAGTGTAAATCCAATCAGTCTAATGGATATTCGCTTAGTCTTCATGTTTGCTGCGGCGGGGGTATTTTTTGTTTTAGGACGCTAGGCACGAGCCCGGGATTGTTTTTCACATATTACTTCAGACTGAGGCTAGACCTAGGGGTTGAGGCATTATCTCATAGATAAAATACATTAGTGATTTGGCGGGATTTGAACCCGGGACCTTACGAACCGAAGTCCCTAGCTCTTAACACTAGACCCGCCCGCTCCCCCTCTAGTACTTTGTACTGTAGAATTGAATTATTTCCAGGAATTTGTGACGGTTTTCTTGTCGGTCTTATCTTATCTGGCTGGGAGATAAAACGGTTCGCTGTAGTGAATAATTTTGCCACCTTGGTAATAAATCACTGTTGACATTGTCGCAACGATAAGATAACGATAAATTTTAGTTCAGTTACTTAAATACGAAAAACAGAGTTGTGTATACGTAACGGATTTTAACCCTAAAATCAAATATGTAGAATTCAACTATTCGATAGTGTTTATGTTGGACATGTGAAACATCAATTTCAAAAGTCACTACAAAATACAATTATAAAGTATTTTACAAATTACAATTACAAAATACAATTACAAAATTCAAATTACTAAATATTTACAATACTTATTTCTTGTGGAAAAGAGGCCTACTGTATTTGTAACAAAGTAATAATTACATATTTATTAACACTACAGTTTTTCCCCCCGTACTATTTATTTATACTTGCACGCTTTTAAAAGTATACTTTATCTTTACACTGTATGAATAATATAAGCGATAAGA